TATTTACATTACGATTCATAACAGTAGCAAAATTACAGTTATGAAGTAGCAACGAAAATAATTTTATGGTTGGGGCCACAACATGAGGAACTGTATTTAAAGGGCCAGAAGATTGAGAACCACTGCCATAGCCCATTGGTTACAAAGCCCTAAAATAACTAAAGAGACTTAATTTAAGGAATAGAAGATAACACCTAAAATGGGTGTGTAGCAGCCCTAGCCGGTCTGGCTCAGTGGATAGAGCGTCAACCTACGGATTGAAGGGTTCCAGGTTCAATTCTGGTCAAGGGCACATGCCCAGGTTGTGGGCTCGATCCCCAGTAGGGGGCATGCAGGAGGCAGCAGATCAGTGATTTTCTCTCATCATTGATGTTTCTCTCTCTCTCTCCCTCTCCCTCTCTGAAATCAATAAAAAATATATTTAAAACAATAAAAAATAAATACAATAAAATGAATGTCTAGCAACTCTTATATGTGTGACAGAGGTGACAGCAGAAACCTACACCTGCACTTCATATCATATTCACTTTGGCTTATCCTGTCCAGCATTTCCTAGGTGCTGGGTCTCCCTCCCTGTCAACGCCACCTCTGAGGACAGTCCAGGCTAGAGAGGCGCAAGGAATTTCTGAGAGGCTGCTCTTCGGCTGACGTCTGGTGCCCTCCCTCATCCTGTCTCTCCATTATGTGACGGCAACCTAAAAATATGCTGTTGCCTAACGATCACATGTCATTTCATACCTTCCATACTTTCCTCCTCCTCTTCCTCCAGCGGCATGCCGGGTTCTGAATCACCATAACTCTCCTCGTCACCAGAGAACTCTGCGGTTTCTGAATACACAGGGTCCTCTTCCCCACCATAGACAAGGTACTCTGGGTCGTCATGATCTTCTCCTTCCACGGTGCTTTCTGCATCTTCAGAGAATACAGCCGACTCTAGATATTCCTCTTCTCCTAAGTATAAAGAATCATCGGGCTCATCGTACCTCTGTTGGTCCTGTGAATAGTCAGTAGTTCCTGAAACTTCAGACTCAACATTCTCTGCTGAATGCGGCATCGTGGTGGTTGGCGGGTCGTATGCCTTCTCGTTTTCCCGTGAGGACCACGCCATCTCGCCATCACTACTTTCCTTGTCCCTGAACATCTCAGAGGTTTCCACATCCAAATGCTCTTTCTCTTTGAAGGACACGGTGATCTCAGAACTCTCAGGCTGTTTCTTTCCCGGGGAAAATGGATCTTCCGAATTCTTGCTTACCCCTGTAGATTGAGGAGATTCTGTATGTTCATGTTTTAAAGATTCTGAAAAGAACAAGAAAGTTATGGGGTTTTTCACTTTGTTTTCCAAATTAACAAAAAGAAGTTTTCTATTGACTTGTGTTTCCGAGACCTCGAAGCATTATCTCTCTTCTTTATGTCACTGGAGGATAGGAATACCTACCCCTTCCTTCGGCTGACGTCTGGTGCCCTCCCTCATCCTGTCTCTCCATTATGTGACGGCAACCTAAAAATATGCTGTTGCCTAACGATCACGTGTCATTTCATACCTTCCATACTTTCCTCCTCCTCTTCCTCCAGCGGCATGCCGGGTTCTGAATCACCATAACTCTCCTCGTCACCAGAGAACTCTGCGGTTTCTGAATACACAGGGTCCTCTTCCCCACCATAGACAAGGTACTCTGGGTCGTCATGATCTTCTCCTTCCACGGTGCTTTCTGCATCTTCAGAGAATACAGCCGACTCTAGATATTCCTCTTCTCCTAAGTATAAAGAATCATCGGGCTCATCGTACCTCTGTTGGTCCTGTGAATAGTCAGTAGTTCCTGAAACTTCAGACTCAACATTCTCTGCTGAATGCGGCATCGTGGTGGTTGGCGGGTCGTATGCCTTCTCGTTTTCCCGTGAGGACCACGCCATCTCGCCATCACTACTTTCCTTGTCCCTGAACATCTCAGAGGTTTCCACATCCAAATGCTCTTTCTCTTTGAAGGACACGGTGATCTCAGAACTCTCAGGCTGTTTCTTTCCCGGGGAAAATGGGTCTTCCGAATTCTTGCTTACCCCTGTAGATTGAGGAGATTCTGTATGTTCATGTTTTAAAGATTCTGAAAAGAACAAGAAAGTTATGGGGTTTTTCACTTTGTTTTCCAAATTAACAAAAAGAAGTTTTCTATTTACTTGTGTTTCCGAGACCTCGAAGCATTATCTCTCTTCTTTATGTCACTGGAGGATAGGAATACCTACCCCTTCCAACACAAATGGCAATAAGTCAACCGTCAGAACCTGCTTTTCCCACTGGAAAAAGATCAGAATGCACTCCAGCCTTGCTCAAAATTCCAAGTCTTTCACAGCAAACTCAAGTGTCAAACGAACAGAACAAAATGTGAATCTTATGAACAGCGCTAACTTGTGGAGTTACTGTGACCCCAAACCAGCTCCGAACTCCTAGGGCCATTGGTAATGAAGTCTGATCCTAATAATTTCTAGTCAGGAAGCAAAGAGCTCTAATTTGGAATAGTAAATCCTAGAAATAAATAGTAAGACCCATTTCTTTAAGCGAACGGGTCTTGTCCCACATTAGGGACCATTAACATAAACCTTTTACCTTGAGAAAAATCTTAAGAGCAGCCAGGAGAGAAAAATAAGACAGATTCCACTTAATTAGATGGCAACAGAAGGGAGAAGAAAGTGGAATGATATTTTCAATGTGTTGGGGAAAAAAAAACTACTAGAATTCTATACCCAGCTAAATCATCTTTCCATTAAAAAAAAGTAAATATCTTCATGTGTTTTTCCATTGCATTCATTTTCCAACACTAAACCACACTCCCTTGTTATGGTTCTGCCATTTGCCCAGTGCTCAGGAGCTTCTACAGTAGAAATAAAACCACAGCTACCAAATGCTTTAGGCAGTGGTTCTCAACCATCTGGCCCTTTAAATACAGTTCCTCATGTTGTGACCCAACCATAAAATTATTTTCGTTGCTACTTCATAACTGTAATGTTGCTACTGTTATGAATCGTAATGTAAATATCTGATATGCAGGATGGTCTTAGGCGACCCCTGTGAAAGGGTTGTTCGACCACCAAAGGGATCGCGACCCACAGGTTGAGAACCACTGCTTTAGGGTGTTGAGAAAAAAATAATTTCAAGGCCAGAGTATTTGCTGTCATCAGAAAGATGATGACTCTTTCTTTTTTTTTTGAAATGTGTGATGGAAACCACAAAGAGAAAAAACAGAGAACATTTTGACAGTTACCAGGTGGGAGGGGGGTTGGGGAGATGGGTGAAAAAGGTGAAGAGATTAAGAAGCACAAACTGGTTGTTACAGAATAGTCATGGGATGTAAAGTACAACGTAGGGAATATAGTCAATGATATTTAAATAACTATGTATGGTGTCGGATGGGTAGGAGATTTAGTGGGATGATAATTTAGTAAATTATATAATGTCTAATCACTGGGTTGTACACCTGAAACTAATATAATATTGTATGTCAACTATAATTGAAAAATAAATGATTTTAAAAACAGAAATAAAAAAAATGAAAATTAAAAAATAAAATAAACAGAACCTGAAATTAAAAAAACATATTGACATCAATATTGGCTCATCAATTATAAAAAATGTACTACAATAATGCAAGATGTTAAAAATTGGGAAAGTTGGGAGAGAGGGTGAGAGAGTACATGAGAACTCTGTACTTTTTGCTCAAATTTTCTGTAAACCTGAAAGTATTTTAGAAAGCCTATTAATTAAAAAAAAAAATGCCTACCCAGTGTGGCTCAGTTGGTTGAGTGTTATCCCATGCACCAAGAGGGACAACAGTTTGATTCCTGGTCAGGGCACATGTCTGGGTTGTGGGCTTGATCCCCAGTAGGGGATGTGCAGGAGGCAGCCGATGGATGTTTCTCTCTCATCAATGCTTCCATCGCTCTCTCTCCCTCTCTTCCTCTCTCTAAAATTAATAAACACATATATTTTTAAAAAGCAATGCAGCAGATGAGCTTTGGGTGAGAAGTTTAGTTAACCAATTTTATGTTGCTTGAACTTTCCTTCTTATGCATGCACAAAAGTGATAAGCCATAACTCATTGATCCTAAGTCACAGTTAAAAAAAATACCTGGATAAGGATGCATCTTAAAATAGATGGCATTTTAGATTTGATGAAATATAATATGTTAAAATATATATGTCTAAATAAGCCTAAAGAAATTCTTTCAATAACTATTAAATAAAATCTAAGATTAGAAAATATGGTGTCATAGTTTAATTGGTGGTGTTTTTATTTTTAAGTGGAGCTTAATATAATAGTGCATTTTACAATTGATGTGTCTCCGATTAGATTAAATATAATATAGGTGTATACTATAAAATTGGCTAGATGATGCATATTTAATTTATCAATTGTTGAATCTGGTGAAGGGGTTTGAAAGAGGAAGACAATTTGGATTGCAATGCTTTATTTTTGTATTTAAAAATGACAAAGCCACTGACATAAAATGTTAATAATGATTAAATCTGAGAAGCAGGAGCATGCTGTTATGTATTTTTTGTCTACTTTATTTTCTATATTAATTTTTTTTATTTTTTATTTTGAGAGTACATTTATGAAAGCTGGCGTCAGTGAATAAGAAAGGGCCTAGGTTAGAAGAAGCAACAAGAGAGACTAGGCGGGCTGCTTTGGCTTTAGAAATGTTATAGAAAAGAAATGAGCCAAGGCAAGGCTGCTGTAGCTCACTGAACAGTCAGAGAAAAAGGGGGCTTGGAGACAGGGTTTAGGGGGTTAGCCTGGGATGAGCTGCTGCTGCTCTTTGCTTCCCTGGTTGCAAGACTTGCAGGCCCTTAGAGTTTAAGTAGGAGAGGCATGCTTGTGGGGTCAATATTTAAATTTTTAAAAAAATATATATATTTTGATTGATTTCAGAGAGGAAAGGCGAGAGAGGGAGAAATAGAAACATCAATGATGAGAGAGAATAATTGATTGACTGCCTCCTGCACATCCCCCACTGGGGATCGAGCCTGCAACCTGGGCATATGCCCTGACCAAGAATTGAACCGTGACCTCCTAGCTCATAGATCGATGCTCAACCACTGAGGCATGCCAGTCGGGGTATATTAAAAATTTTTAAACAACAAAACAGAAATATCTGAAAAAAAATAAAATTGAAGAACAACAGCTCAGAAACTTATTTGCTGGGGACTATTCTTGAGCAATTGGGTATTGGGGGAACTTGGGGGAGGAAAAAGTCAGGCAGGCAGGCAGACACAAAAAGACAAATATTGCCTGATTCCACTTAGATACCTACAATAGTTAAGTTTATAGGGACAGAAAGCAGAATAGTGGTTACCAGACACTGAGGGCTGGGGGTGGAGGCAAAGTGGTGTTTTTATTGAATGGGTACAGCGTTTCAGTTTGGGAGAAAGAAAAGTTTCTGGAAATGCATTCTGGTGATTGATGGTTGCACAACATTGTGAATATACTTAATGTTATTGTGAATTGTACACTTAAACATGGTTAAAGTGGTAAATTTCTGTTATATATTTTTTAACACACACACACACACACACACACACACGCACACACACACGCTGGACCCAGGAAATCAAAAGAAGTCTTATTTTGGGCATGTTGAACTTGAAATGCTCACAGGTAGTTGGATAAAAATCCCACCTCAGGTAAGTGATTATGGGCTGTAGATGGGAATTTAACAGACACCATGTTGGAGTCAAGAGGCCAGAGAGAGAGAGAGTATGGGGAAGGGGTGGTGGTTGGTTTCAAGACCAGGGGCTTCCAACACTCAGAAAAGGCCGGTCAAGTGAGGTAGGAGGAAAACCAGGAGAGGTGGGGCGGAGGAAGCCAAGCACAGAAACCCTTCTCAGCAGGAGGCAGTGGTCAGCAGTGTAGACTGCTTCTGAGAGACTGAGTGAGGTGAGCACCACTGGATTTGGCAGTGAGGGAACCATTAAGGTTTCTGCAGCATGAGAAGGAGGAAAGGCAGGCTGAGGTGGGGTGGGAAGGAAAGAAGTAGTGATGAGAACTATCCACATACTTTGAAGAAGTTTTGCTGTAAATATTAGCTGAGTAATGGGGTGGTAGCAGTAGGCAGATAAGGCGGTCTAGGGCAGCCTCTTTTGTTTTTTTAAAGATGAGAGATACTGGAAGAAGTTTGTATGCTGGTGGGAGTGGGACAATATTTCCATAAAGGGAAAGGCAGGCTGAGGTGGGGTGGGAAGGAAAGAAGTAGTGATGGGAACTATCCACATACTTTGAAGAAGTTTTGCTGTAAATATTAGCTGAGTAATGGGGTGGTAGCAGGAGGCAGATAAGGAGGCCTAGGGCAGCCTCTTTTGTTTTTTAAAGATGAGAGATACTGTAAGAAGTTTGTATGCTGGTGGGAGTGGGCCAATATTTCCATAAGAGAGAGAGAGAGCGAGGGCAGAACTAGGAGAGAAGGGAGAACTGAAGGAGAGGGACATGAATGGTGTGCGTGGCCATGTATGGGAGCTGGGCACCTCCTCCACCTGAGAATGGGCAGAGACAGTGGGCCCTGGGCGGTGGGTCTGAAGATTTGGTGGTGGGAAGATGATAGCATCTGTTTCTTCAATGAGGAGTGAAGCAATGAAACAATGGTTTCTGCTTCCTCACCGCCGAGCTGGGCACAGGAGGGGGTGTTTGAGTACAGAGGAGAAATGCAAATAAGTCATAGCAAAGAATGGGGAAGGCTACACAGGGGGTCTGTGGAGCCCTGTGGCCCTGATTATAAAAGGAGACCAGTGACAAGGTTGAGTGACTTTCTCTAGCAGCAAGCACAGGCAGGTGGGTCTGACTCAATTGTGATTCTTTTTTCTTTTCTTTTCTTTCTTTCTTTTTTTTCATTTGTGATTCTCATAGTGTGCTTCAAGGACCAGTGGCATGAGCTTCACCTGGGAACTTGTGAAAAAGAAAAATGATCAGTTACCACCCTAAACCTATTGAATCAGAACCTTCAGGGTGGGGCCCACCCACCTGTGTTTTTCACAAGCTCTCCAGGTGATTTGGAAAGTTTGAGAAGCTCTGAATTATAGTGAAGGAATGAAGGGCACTGGGGATGATCTGCAACTTGTAGGTGCCAACTGGTGCCATTCTCTGGGGCGGAAGTTCCTAGTATTGTGAGCTCTGGGTGTGTCTTCTCTCTTGTTTAGTGACAGATCTATAAGCAAACTCTGGAAATTGCCAAGAATGGAAGGCCATCTAAAGGAACTTTGAG